TATCTGTTTCGATTAAATTTATTATGAGATATAAAGGAAGATCGTCTATTAAAATATCGAGAACTACTGTCGTGAGCCGCGTCTTAGCGCGACCTTTTAGCTTATTTGGAATGGATACAAGAAATGTTAGCAAATTGCTTAGTAACTCGCTAACATTTCACTATATGAAAAGTGGTCGGGCGGGGGGCGGCGGTCACCGGGCGGGGGGCGGCGGGCGCACTGCCCGCGTGTCAAGCTGAAACTATACTTGCTAAGTGTGGCTTCCATATATTAGGTGATGAGTGCATGTGTACAGAGGAGCGGGCGCGCTCGGCCCCGGACGCTCTCGGTGTACTCCAGATAACTATCCAAACTGTAGGTTTAGGCCAATGTATCGAATGTCATTCAAAAAACCTCAATAAATCTTACAAAAAATTATATCTCGTTTAACTCGTTACAAATGAACCTTCTCCAATTATGAGAACCCGTCCTCTGGTATATGTATTACTTGAAGTTCCTACCTTTTGCCCGCAACTTCGTCGCATGTGTCCTACATCTATACAGATAAATTTCATCGAGACACATGCAGCCATTCCGCAGATACCTTCTAGCGATCCATTCAATCAACCTAACGCATTTATAATGTAGTAATAAGAAATAATTTAATAATCTTATGAAAAAGCAACACTACTCTGTGCGTTGGAGGGGCTCCACCTCGGTTATACATAACAATAAAAACGCCTCATTGTGGAGCAGAGTTTAATTGTAACAAAGCGGTGCGGAGTGTCGCAGCTACTTGCAGTAGCGGTCCGCCTTCATGCGCGCGCGCCGGTCCAGCAGCGCCTCGTGCAGCACCCCGCGCGCCCGCGCCTCCGCCAGCGCACCCGCGTCGCTCTCCGCCACGCGTATCTTCTTGTCTTGAAACTTCTGATATTTCTTTCTGCAAATATGAGGAAAACGCTATGGGTCACGCCGAGCCGCTCTAACGAGATTAGATTGTCGTGTCTCTATAAAATGTTATTGGAGAAATGTTTAAATAATACCAACACGTAGTTGAGTTCGAGCGTGGTGAGGTCGCCTGTGTCCGCGCTGTCCGCGCCGTCTGCACTGTCTGCGGCGGCGGCGGCGGCGGCGGCGGCGGCGGCGGCGGGGCGGGCGGCGGCGCGCGGGCGTGCGGAGCGCACGGCGCAGTACGCGCGCTCGTCTGCGCCGCTGAGCCGCGCCACCACCGCATCCTCCGCCTCATCCACTGACACGAACTTGTTGAGCGCGCTCAGGATCGCCGTGCGACCTGCGAACGACGCACCCGTCACTGCTGGAGGCCGAGTGATCAATTGCAGCAAGTGTCCTCGCACAAAAAAAACAGTTGAGCTTTATTATTATCATTTCCCTCTAATACTATTTATGGTTTATCATCATCATTGTTAGCCTGGATTCATCCTCTGCTAAATGCCACAATGTCTGGTCCTGTATCCTTCGACTCCAATATTAAAGGTTATTGACAAGCAATAGGCTAACTGTTGGTTCATAAAGTTTATAATTAATTGTCAGCATGGTATAGGGTATTTAATATTCAGATACTTTATAAATGCTAGAATGGTTAATTTTTTTAGTTCTTATCACATCTCACCATCTTGGAAAACAGGCTCCCACTGCTCCATGGGACCTACGGCATCAGACCTTCCGACTACCATTCCATCCTTTGTGACTCCAAGGTATTTGCCGTAGCCTGATTTGAGTGCAAACTTATTGTCTCCGGCGGGGAATGCAGTGAATATCTCTTCAGGTGATGGACCATCACCATCATCATGTGGTGCCCCTATTGTGAACAAGCCTGCAAGTACAATTTTACTCAAAGTTAGCTCACTATACGTCCCCACCAAGGGCTCAGAGCCTACCCTTAGTTAGGGTGACTAGGCCATAGTCAACCATGGTTGGTTGACTTCACAGATATCTTTGAATTTTCTTCACAGATATGTGCAGGTTCACTATGTTTTCCTTCACCGTAAGAATGTCGGATAAATGTACATATGTAAATCAAAAAACACATTGGTACATGGCGGGATTTGAACCCAGGACCTGCAGATTACAAGTCAAGTGCTTTATCCCCTGAGCCACTGACACTCTCTGATCTATATATATCTAATACTTAAAGTAATGAGGAGTAAATATAACTGTAAGTGTTGTTGCATATCATATTAGAGGCCCCCGGGTTGGGCAGAAAGATGAAGGAATATGTTTGCTGGTGTAAATTCAACCCAAGCATATAGACATCACACACCAAAGATAACACTGACATGTACAAGAACAACAAACCATTATCTAGAGCAGAGACGTAGGTGTTTCTTCCAAACTCAATGGCTACAGATCCCGTGATCTCTTCGGCTGCTGTGACTCTCCACCACCCGCCGTGCTTGACACAGTCCTCGTCCACCCTTGTTTCATCCTCTTTACCACCTTTCTTATGCTTGCGTTTTTTTGCTCTGGGATTACATGAATGCTTAAATCAATAAAACAATTATTATTGAATCGTGTGCAATATTAATTGCTTGAGATAAAAATGGCTTACTTGGGTTTGTCTCCCTTCAAAACCAACTTCCCCCTTTTAACAGCTGCATACTCATCAGTCATCGTTCGATCTGAAATTATAGAGTTAGGAGAAACAAATAAGAAATAATTATAAATTTATATCTCGCTCACGGTTAATATTGATACTGTCACATTGACAAATTGACATGACACTAATTCTTGTCAATTTGTCAATTAGAATTTTCAAAGGCCTAGACAGATAGCATAATCATATGTTCAGCAATAAAAAGTACGAGTTAAAAAATAACAAACTAATATTATTTAACTATTGTTTAACTATAGGGTTTTTTTTGTAAATTTAAAAAATGGCTGCACCGTTTTTTCATTGGTCAAAATTTAACGCTGTCTTATATACTCTTTGTTGGTAGGTTCACATATTTTCTGACTGCTGTTACAGATCATGACAAGATATACAACTTATATATGTAGCAAAGAGTATACAAAATATATGTACTGTAGCCTTTAGGTAGCAAATCCGGAGCACATGGAGACAGAGACAAGAGATACCAATCAATTGGTTTTTCTGTCTACGGGTGCACAAATGTAAGGAATGTCAAAAAAATAATTAAATAAACAAATATTTAACTTAGGTAAAGTTAGACAGTAAATAGTAAATATCCAACTCTATTTTAATACTTAATTCCACCACAGTCACAACACAATTAGCAGTTCATATAAAATAACAACGTGTGGTACAATTGTTCAGTCATAACTGGACTGGCCTGTTCAAGACCGTCTACATTATGCGAAATGGCTGAACTGGTATGAAAAGGAAAACGCCATCCCTGTTATCGGTGAGGCTGGCTTATTGGCTTCAGTGTGTGTCTACATTAGGCTAGTTGTATGTCAGAGCTGATTTTGATCGCGACTGGCTTACTGAGCTGGCCTAATGTAAACGGGGCATTATGGTTAATTTCCTTAGTGTTATTATTTACATTACGAAATTTTATAAGTACATATTTAAAAAATACATGAATCCTTTTGTAACAAAGAAAACGGTAAAAAATTATCTTCGCCTCTTTCACGGGGACAAATAAGACTTTACGATGTGTGTTCTCGTCACCAAGTTAGACCTTACTCTATGATCGACTGTATTCGGAATTTCTGAAACCTAAACTTAAATGCTCTTTGCCTCACACATGCACGCCATTTTGCAATACTGAACTAGAACATGTTGACTGCTATGTAACGAAAAATGCTTTTTATTAATACTCAATGTAGTTTGTTTATTAGTTTTATTTAGTAAATTAGTCGGATTTGTAAATTTGAGATATCGAAATGGATATGCCAGAAGTAAAAGCGTTCAACGCGGAGGTACTATTTGTTAACTTTGGACAGTGCAGTGCATTTTCCGTGGCATCATTAAAATTATTTGTTTCACTTGCAGTTATCCGGGTTGTATGAAAACAAGCCACCAATTTCGAAAGCTAAGATGAGCGCTATCACTAAAGGTGCTATAAAGGCGATTAAATTTTACAAGCATGTAGTTCACAGTGTAGAAAAATTCATTCAGAAGTGTAAAGCGGAATACAAAGTTCCCGGTCTGTACGTGATAGATTCTATCGTGCGGCAGTCGAGGCACCAATTCGGCCAAGATAAAGATGTTTTCGCTCCTCGATTTGCGAAAAACATGCAGCAAACATTTGCCAACCTTTTCAGATGTCCACCAGAAGATAAGGTTAGATATATCTGATTATAACAATTTCTATTGATAGCATAAAGTAAGAATGTAATGAAAACTACTGTCGTATCAGGCATGCAAACCATATGATTCTGATAAAAATTTCAGCGCAATATAATCCGCGTATTAAACCTCTGGCAGAAGAATAATGTGTTTGGCCCTGATGTCATTCAACCACTGATGGACATGGCGGACCCCAACCATCCGCTGCACCAGGAGATAATGCTGCAACAAAACAACACCGCAAATGGTATGCCATTTAGGGACCAATTGTAATTTGTGTGCTACAAATGACCAATAGTGAGATTTGAAATCTTAGTCATTGTACAAACTGAGCTCTCCCATCACATTTTTGCAGTGATGTCACTAATAGCCAAAGTGATGTTTTCATTTTCTGGTAGCAGTTGGTACCCACTACCTACTGTATCATGTCTTCTTTCCTTGACTACTAACAACTCATGAGATCCACTTTGCTACAACACTAAACAAAACCCGAATTTGTAGGCCGGGTTCTAATCTAGTCAAGGTGTTTTCATAATTGATTAATTGACATTTCAGGGAGCAGCTTAAATATAAGCCACAACACAACAAGTCTGGGAGAGGGTAAGCTGTCCCCCCCACAGCATACGCCACGCGCCACCACTCCTCCGCCCCCACCCGACCAGGTAGTCCCTTGTGTATTTTGAACTTAAACGAGTAAACTGACTCTATTATCATATAGCCTAAACTACATAGATTAGTTTTTTTAATTCCCTGTATAGTCACTGGCAAATGCTATTATAATATAGCAGTGCAATATACATAAGTGATGTGGTGTCTGTGCTTTGTCTGTCCCGCAGGAGCAGGCCGCGCCCGGCGTCAAGTTCAACCGCAAGCTGCTCAACGACTTCGAGTACGAGAGCGAGGACGAGGCGGCCGGCGCGGAGCCCCACCCCGCGCACCCGCCGCACGCCGCCCACAACCACCAC